AACACAGTGGTTTTTCATTGACTACACACTATGTGCAATGCACTTGGCTAAGCTTTTGGTGCGTGATCTCCTTTTGTCCTCACCATAACATTTAGAAGCAGGAATTGTAATTCTCACTTTAGAGACAAGGAAGTTATAGCCCAGAGGCCTCTAACACTAAGACAGAAGTGAAGATTTGACCCAAGTCTGGTTCCAGAAATTACTTTCATTTAATGTTATTTATTTATTAGCCAGGTCTCCTCAACACTTCGCCATGTCTATGCTTATATTATAGCAACTCTTTCTCCATTTAATTATCCCTGATATGAATTTGGGCTCCAGGGTGTGACAAAATTAATACCCAGGGATGAATCTTCTTTTTCTCTTATAAGTGATAACAATTCATTTTCTAAGAGCCAAAAATAAAGCTCTTCCAAGGATTGAACATGTGCACACATTTTCCTAAACATAGGACAAAAACTCAGAAAAACAAAACCAAAACCCAAACTGATCTTGTCTATCATCCAGCCTCAGCTCTCTTACCTTTGTAATGTTCCACATGTTAATTTGCTCCTGGGAGAGACTTCTCCTAATGGGCTTTCAGGTGAAAGAACTGGGGGTCAAATTAATGGCACAGTTTGGAGTACTGAAATTGGTCCTGGTATGGAGAAGGGAGATTTACTCAGCCTTGCTGTCATACTCGGTTTTGTTTAACTTCTGCTCCTCTTCTCTCCTCCCTATCTAAAGTGATTTGGTCGTTCCCTGACGGAGAAGAATAATCAGTTCTGACACAGCTCACTGGACCTGCCTATGACATGTAGAGTTACCCCCAAAAAGTAAACTGCTGGAAATTAAAATACAAGTGTCTCTGTACTTCCAAGTCACACCTGTCTCCCCATAATCATATTGGAATTACTGTCACAGTCACCAAGTTCTGCTTGGTGCAAATTGTTTCCTCTAAGCAGCGCTTTTAGGAACTTGAGGAATTGCTGAAGGTAGGGAGAAATTTTAGGAGATCTAGATGGTAATTAACTTTCCCTCTACTTAACTGTGTCTCCACTCCTTTGTGAATGCAACTGAGACTCTCAAAGATAAAGGGGTGTTCTGAGGATGGCAGCAGCCCAAGTCCAAGGAGCTCACAGAATCTTCATATTTCCTAGGATTTTCAAGCAAAATTCTCTTAGGAATATAGGTGGTATGAGAAGGAAGCAAAGTGATTTTTTAAAATGTAAACTGGGTGTTATCTTTCTCTACAGCACCAAGTAATCATGTTATGTGTTAGTGGATTTATTTTCTCAATAGTCCCATGACTCTATCTTCCTTTTTATGACATTTAATGATTCATTACTGGATAGATGATAAACTTTACTGTACTGCCAATCACCTCTTGTCATTCCCCTACCCCCGTCTCCATTCTTCTTTGTCTTTCTTTTGAGAGTCATCATCTTCATATCTCCCGAAAATGCTTTCCTGGTTCTTGGCTGTTATTCATGATATTTGTATTGTCCAGAAATGTTCAGCTCCTTCCTCTTTACCTGCTGAAGCCCCCCCTCCCCATCCTTTGAGGCATACTGCAAATAGTATCTCTTCTAATAAGGCGCTACCCAAAAATATAGCCCCAAATAGTCACTTGTGACTTTCCATAGTTGTTCTTGCATGATTAATGGTTGCTACTTTCCAAAAACAGATGGAACTTCCATGTAATTTCACTTTCTTCCAAGTCTTTCCCCCAGTTTATGGGTTATACCACTTGAGTGGGCTGTTACCAGTTCAGGGATCTCTTTACACTCCCTAACTTATCTCTGTGACAATTTAACTCTGTTTTTTCCACTTCAATGAGACTCCGCATCCTGAGATCACAGTGCCTTCCCCTTTGAGATCCACTTTATAGCACATTCTCCCATTTTCTTGTTAATCTCTATTTCCATGGTCCTAATCCTAGCTTGTAGCATTGTTCTCTTTCAACCTTGCTTTCCTCCCATTCATTCTGCAAAATCAGCTTTATGCGTTCTTTCTCTTCTCCAAAGTTGCTTTTTTCCTGACAGCCGATCATGTGTCTGACATCCTGAGGTTGAGCATGCCTCTCCCCTTTTACCACCTGCAACCATTCCCTTCAAAAGCTAGACGTATAAAGGTCCTACCCCTGACTCTGCCTTCTAAAAGCTTCTGTTGCCTCTTGTGAGTGCACAGGCCAAATGCTCCCAGTGGCCTGTCCCCTCCTGCAGAGCCATACTAATGGAGCTAGGATTGATGCCCACTCTCAGAGGAACCACATAAGAGCTCAGAGCCTGGGGCTAACATGAGTTCAGCTGCGTCTCAGCTCCATTGCCATGCAGCTGCGCCCCTGCAGCCGCTTTGAATCCCTGGGTACAACCTGTCAAGACCACTGACCACCCAGTCTCTCAACCACTTGATGAAATAATTTTTGGTCCTAAATTGTCCTTTTGTCTTGTGTAGTGGCTTTGAGCTGTTCACTGATGTCTTGTTTGCCTTTTTCCTGCCTGACCACTGAGGCCTTGGGCTCTTGTTGCCTGACCTCTCCTCTGGAATGCTGCCCCCTCTTTGTCAGACTGCTTGATTCCCTTCTCCCAGGCAGTCAGCCCTTTCCTGACGATGCGCTTGCTCTTGCCTTTGCCATTCACTTAGTCTTTCTGGCTCTACCTCCAGGGGGACCTCTGCCTTTCATTACCAGTACGGATCCTACTCTTAGATCAATGTGATGACTGCATATTTAGTATGTTTATTGTATATAAAGCAGTGTGTAACTTATGTCAATAACACAGAAATGAGCACTAAAAGTACTTTCTTTCAAGAAGCTTACAATCTAATGGAGCAGTGGTCAAGTCAATTTATTTGCAAACAGCATACTGTGATAAATTCCTTAAGTGAGATTCAGAGAACGGAAAGAAAAAGTCCAGTTCATGTGTGTCAGCGTGTGTGTGTGTGTGTGTGTGTGTGTGTGTGTTTGGGGCATAGGGTGGTGATAGGACAGTTTACTTGGGAGAAATGGTGCTTGGAATGGTTTGGAAGTAGATAGGAGGGGTTGGTGTTGTAGTGTAATGGATAAAACTGCCATCTGAGACACTGGCATCCCATATGGTCTCTGGTTTGAGTCCCCGCTGCTCCACTTCAGATGTTTCCTGCTAATGCACCTGGGAAAACAGCAGAGGATGGCCCAAGTACTTGGGTCCCTGCACCCATGTGGGAGACTCCTGGTTCCTGGCTTTGGCTTGGCCCAGTTCTGGCCATTGTGGCCCTCTGGGGAGTGAACCAGCAGAAGGAAGACCTCTCTCTCTGTCTTTCCCCCTCTCTCTACCTGTAACTTTGCCTTCCAAATAAATAAAATAAAAAAAGTTTTTGAAAGAAAGGAAGTGGATAGGATCATATCCATGGTGACACACATCTGAAGGAAAAGTGCAGTTAAGTTTGGCCCGACATGTAATGTGGCAGTGTTTTTGACCACAGGGTGCTGTGACTGTCTTTTCCCTGGCATGCTAAATATCCCCTTCAGTAAATGACAGCTGTGATCTCTAGTCACTGAGGCAAACAAACACAGCCCTGCCATAGTTACAAAATGTCCATGGGAAAGAAAGAATTGCTCAGTGGTACTTTTAAGACATGGTAAGGAAGCCTTTATTCAGCATTGTAACGTCAGGTACGGGGGCCACGGCAATTGGATTTTGCAGTGGGGAAGGGAATTCTGAACACAGCATGGGCAAGTGAGAACGTTAATCAAGGAGTTGGAGCTGAGGGCAACTGGTTAGAAAATTATTAAGCAATAACATCAGGAATATGAGAATTCTAGCTAAAATTGCATAAAAGGACTCTCGCTAAAGACTAGCCAGGGTGATCAGACAGTACCCGAGGGTGGTAGTGGATGAGAAACCTGATCAGATATTGAGGGTTTTTGCTTAACTGACTTGGTAGAGTTCTTTGCTAAACTGGATTTCATAAAAAAGAACATAGACAGGCCTAGGAGAAGGTTTATGTGCCTCACTAAAGTTTGGCTAAGTAAAGAACCTTTGTCATCCCTGGGGAAGATGCCAACCTGCTAGAGAAGCCACTGGATTATGGGTGTTACATGAGAAAGTTCAGGAAGGTCTGCTGATCTGAGGAGTTTGTGTGCTTAAACAGGATTCAGTGAGAAATCACTGAAAGTCTTTGCGTATGGCATCACAGGATCCAAGATGTTCTTTGGAAATAATTAAATGTGGGTACTCCCAAAAGTTCATGAAAAGACACAACTTAAATAGAAGTTCCTTTTGAATTCCATGCATAATTTTTCTATAATATGCATTTTCCATGATCTTTCTGAAGACCCTTCCTATTACTCTGGCAGTGAAGCAGAAGAGAGAAAACAGGAGAGACTGGATATGGGGAAAAGAGTCAGGCAGCTGTTGCAATAAATCCAAATAAGGAATTATGGCAAATTATGCTGGCAGAGCCCCGAGGTCTCCTTGATAGAGTAAGGCAACCAATTGGGTGGGGGGTGTGTCCAGGGAGAACTAAGGCCACAGCACTGCCCCAGTCTTGAGCTCAGTGACTCTGAGCACAGTGACGTCATACACAGAGGCAGGGGAATCAGACAGGGAACAAGTGTTGGGGAAAGAGAGCTCAGTCTGCAGCATGTACTGTGTGTGCCGCCCAGGGGACACAAATGACTGGAATGGTCCTGCCAAGGACCGGAGGCTGCTTAATGAATACGAATGATGCTTCTTGAAAGGCGATTTTTAAAAGTTCTTTAAAACGAATTGCTTCTTAAATAAGCCCGTCTCACACATCCAGCCTCATGGTCACCTTGCTCACCTCACCCACCCTCCTCCTTTTTCCTTTCTTTTCTTTGACGTTGAATGTAACTAAACTTTATCCCAGTTCAGGTCAGAGTGCTCTCCAAATTGACTTAGCATTTTGAATTACTGAAAGACTGAGCTTTTCAATAAAATATTAGGTAATGGATGTACCAGGAACGAGCTAAAAAAGATGCCATTTTTTTTCCCACTGATTTCAGTTTTATTCCCCAGTGTCTCCCACTGAAGGAAGGTCACAAGCAACGAGGCAGCGGCACATTGGATCCGAAATTGCTAAAGTAAGTTTTCTCCTCCATGGGAGTCCCTGAGGACGCCGAATCCGGCTGAGCTCCTCAGGGTTTCATATTCTTCCCCTAAGTAAATTAAATCACGAGCACATCTCATCACAGCGGTCCACACAAAAGCCTTGCTATACCTTTTTGGCAAGGAGTATTTGAAATGGAGCTTTCAGAAATGCTAAAAGCCTGCCTCCTCCAGCCATCTGTGTTGGCTGGCCCAGCTGTGACCACGGGTGGGCCCTGGGGGTGGGGAGGGGGGGCGGGGAAGCAGGACTGCAGTGGCAAATGTCATCCATGTGGGAGCCAAATTGAGTCCAAATGGACTGCTGTCAACATTTTCTCTCTTTTGCTCAATGGCTTGATGAAATTTCCCCCTGAACCAGCTAGAGGTCCTATTGGAAATTTGCATGGAGAGTGGCTGTCTAACCCTCTCCCCCAACTTTCAAAGTGCTTTAGATGTGCGCGTAAATGAATACAAATAGGAATGTGTTGGGAAGATACAGTAGGGAAGCCTTCTGTGGTTCTGCGAGCCTGTACAAATGCCGGCTTAATTAGAAAATCAATCTTGCTGTCTGGCTGATTGATTGTGATCCTCAGCTGGAGGTGGGAAAGAGAGCCGAGTCATGACGAGATAATTTTTTCCTATTACTAAAAAGATGCCTAATGTACATCTCTAAGCAATTCAGCGTGAAGAACTTGTTAAAAACACACCACTTTTTCCCTCTTGCTAATTGAATCTTTGGGGGAGGGGAGGAATAACAGGAGTTTGCATTTTATGAAAACTCCCACAATCTTTTTTCCTAAAGACACTCAAATTCTGAGAGGTGATTTAATGGCTATCTCCAAAGAAATGGAAGTGTTTAAAATTTCTTCTTCATTTATTGTCATTGTATTTGAAAGGCAGACACAGAGATGGAGAGAGCATGATCTTTCATCCACTGGTTCACATCCCACATGCCTGCAACAGCCACTGCTTGGGTCAGATTGAATGAACCAGGAGCCTGGAACTGAATCTGGGTTTCCCATGTGGGTGACAAGGACCCAAATACTTGAGCCATCACCTGCTGCTTCCCGGGGTGTGTATTAGCAGGACGCTGGAATCAGAAGCGGAGCAGATCTCAAACCCAGGCAGTAAAATACGGAATGCAGGCTTCCCAAGTGGTATCTAACTGCACCAAACTCCCACTCCGAAGGGGTTTTTATAAGCAAGAGGAAAGGTGACTGCCTGCTCACCACACCTGTAGAACACTGACTTAAGAGATGGGGTTTCTATTTCTGGAGGAGAGAATTTAGGTTGCTGACCATCACGCTTTCTGGTGTGAACAGTGTGTTTACGAAATCACTTGGAGTCCTAAGGTCGGAGAGTATCTCCTTTGCTCAGGTGGAGACCCAATCCAGAAGTTTAGCCTGTCCAAGGCCACATGGATGAGTGCAGGAGCCTGGGAGAAAGGCTCTCTGCCCTCCAAACCTGTGAATTTCCTGGATACCACGTACCTTCTGAAGGAAGGCTACCATGGAAACTGATGTGTTCGGTTTCTCCCTGGTCCATCAGAGGGGTTCGAAGGCATCCTCTGATCTGTTTTGAAAATGTCCCACTGAGGCCGGCGCTGTGGCTCACTAGGTTAATCCTCTGCCTGCTGCGCCGGCACACCGGGTTCTAGTCCCGGTTGGGGCGCTGGATTCTGTCCTGGTTGCCCCTCTTCCAGGCCAGCTCTCTGCTGTAGCCCGGGAGGGCTTGGAGGATGACCCAAGTGCTTGGGCCCTGCACCCGCATGGGAGACCAGGAGGAAGCACCTGGCTCCTGGCTTTGGATCAGCATGGTGTGCCAGCCGTAGCGGCCATTTGGGGGGGTGAACCAACGGAAAAGGAAGACCTTTCTCTCTGTCTCTCTCTCTGTGTCTAACTCTGCCTGTCAAAAAATAAAAATAAAAAAATAGTCCCACTGAGGACACATTTTTAATTCAGATCACAGGTCATGATGGAACACAGAGCTTTGATGCTTTGATCTGCCTTTTTCTCCTGTGAGTCTTAAAAATGCAAAGCATTTATGCCTCCATTGCAGTTTCATCAACTGTCTCTCTGTCATCTCAACTCTTGTGTCTTTTATTTGCCATACCACAGAAATTTGAAATACTATAGCTATCTTTCACTAAGGATGATCTCTGCTGATTTTTTTTTTCCTTTCTAAACAGCCTCTTACAAAATGCTTGCTACAGCTATAGGTGAAAGGATTTTAGAAAATCTTCCTGTCTTTGAGGAGACCAAGAAAGGAAAATCCAGGTCCAAGGGTTTCTGGAAAAATCTAACCTCGTTGCTTAGAAACACTTCCCTCAGCTCCTTTTCTGTTTCATGATATCTCAATTATTTCCTGTACTTTCAGCCCCTCCCCCAATGCACATCAGCTCTTAATCTTGAACTAAAAAATTTCTCTCTGTTTTCAGTGAAATCTTGATATTCAACCATTTCACGTACTCTTACATGTGGATTACATTTGTAATATTTAATCATTTCCAAATAGCCCAGAGCCAAGACCAAGCTTATTAGTAAAAGAGAACCTGCATTCTTTGGGCAATGTTCATCACAAACTTCGTTTTATGAGAAACATAGCAAGCCTTGCTTATTAAAAACAAGAGAGACTGTTTGTTGCAATGGTCAAAGATGGTAAGAGTAATTCAATTACGCAGAGAGTTTTAAGATCTCAATTTAGACATTCAGTTTGACTTAATGAATTTATTTATTTTACAATGCTATAGTCACTGAAATAAATCTTGGGAGACAGACCCAAATAAGACATCAGCCATAGTTCAATCAAACCTACTTAGCTGAAAAGCAAAAACAAAAACAAAAAATCAAAACAACGACATCCAAAAAAAGGAGGGATGCTGAAGAGAGGAAGTGACCTGGGTAAGATCATGTGCGTGGAAACAGATGACTCACAAAGACAAAGCAGGTTTTGCAAGGAGTTCTTAATTGCAGTGCCCGAGTTTGCTCAGCTCTGTTATCCTTCAGGAGTGGTGCTAAAATGGAGTGAAATGGCTTAAAGGTAGAGAGCAGAAGGAAGAAGAATGCTTGGCCCAGGAGCTTTGACAAGTGTGTGTGGTGTGTGTGTGTGTGTGTGTGTGTATGTGTTGAAAGGAAAATAAATGCTAGGTGGACAATAAAATCTGTATAAATATTCTGTACCTTGTGGAGTTTTGCTACTGCCCACATAGATGAACACATTTCACATATTGAAACATGTGTGCATAGTTCATGCATTTGGAATATAGTATAATAATTACTATGACTATATATATGACTATATACATGTAATTACTATGAATATATATATAGCCATATTTTCTAAGTCATAGGTCATGCTACCCAAAGCAGTTTAAAATATGGAGACTAAGGCTCAGACAAAGTCAAATACTTCCCCAAGGTCACACAAATCATTTGTGGCAAATTCAGGAGCTTTTTCTATTTTATTTGATTCCAAAGCTTATGATGTTAATCTACTAAGTGTGGTAATCATGTGTACTTATGAATAGACAAACTTGTGAGAAAAAGAAACATAATACCTGGACTTGGTGTTGTCTTGGGAAATATGTTGTTTACGGTTTTATGTCTAGTGGTCTATTGTTAAGCTGTGGATAAGGAACGAGCTGAAAACTCATGATGGTTTTTGTTTTATTTGCTCAGAGGTCTGGTAAAGCTCATAAAATACTACTTTAGGGGTATTCCCCCTTTAATCATTGAAGTATAAAGATGTTAGAAATGTATTAAGATTCTGATATAAATAGCTGTAGATTTGTAATACAATAGTGTTTTCAAATGCTCTTATATTTTGTGAAGGGCTTTATACTTCACTGACCATCTTTAAATACTGAGTATTCAATAGGAAGACATGGGATATGTATTCCTGTTTTAAGCTACTCCCTTGTCCTTTCTACTTTGGTTTTGAAATAGATATTTGGGGACCACTCGCATTGTGTTGTCTGGGTTTGTGAACAGACAGAAAAGGCCTAGGGTATCTGAGTTTCAGCAGGGATGTTTGGCAAAAACCTAGTCTATTGGAGACGAAAACTGAATTGCATTAAAAATCTCTGGTAACTCTTTGCAGGGTCTGTTGGCTGAAAAAGAGTTTGAGCCCAATTCTATTTAGGAAATACTTGCTAACATTTTTGAATCTGGCAGTATATCTTTTTGTTAAACTGGAATTTTCTCCATCTGTGGCTTTCTGTTGATTTCTAAGTAATTTCAGATAACAATGGTAAATAAAAAAATCAAGCAGTATACCATTTGAGCATCCTAGTTTGATGCAAATATGGATAGTGTCATGCTAAAGGAATCTAAAATACTCCTGAAAAATAAAATGAAGCCTAAAATAGCCATTCCCACAACATCTTAATCTCATTTGCAAATCAGTCCCCATGTCCATTGCCAAAGCTTTATTGTGTGACTTGGAAAATCCCAGGGAAGGCCTATGAAAATGTTGCATGCTAAGTAACTGCTATGGACAAGCAGACACTTACATGTTTACTTTTTTTATTTTTTGACAGGCAGAGTGGACAGTGAGAGAGAGAGAGAGACAGAGAGAAAGGTCTTCCTTTGCAGTTGGTTCACCCTCCAATGGCTGCCGCGGCCAGAGCGCTGCGGCCGGCGCACTGGGCTGATCCGATTGCAGGAGCCAGGTACTTATCCTGATCTCCCATGGGGTGCAGGGCCCAAGCACTTGGGCCATCCTCCACTGCACTCCCTGGCCACAGCAGAGAGCTGGCCTGGAAGAGGGGCAACCAGGCCAGAATCCAGTGCCCCGACCGGGACTAGAACCTGGTGTGCCGGTGCCTCAAGGCGGAGGATTAGCCTAGTGAGCTGTGGCGCCGGCCTACATGTTTACTTTCTCAATGACTCCCATCACCTGTGAGCGTAGCAAGAGTAATATCACTGTCCTCATCTTATAGATAAGTGAAGCAAAGCACAGAGATGTTAATGACATATCAGTGTCACATAGCAAACAT